GATGATAAGACTTGATTGGTGGTGGCGAGTATGGATAAGTCGAAACGCATTGTTTCCACTTATTTTACACACATCAGCCGAGTGTGTCTGCGTCCCCTGTGTGTGGTAAAGTTCCAAGTGAGACGCGAATCTAGCATCGATCGTTCCAAGTGTCAAAACGTTATACACCAAGCCACAACACTTAACTAGAAATGTGCATATACTTCCGAAGAACAAGTTATTGTACAATATATATATATATATATATATATATATATATATATATATATATATATATATATATATATATATATATATATATACATATTGAATATCGGTGTAGAGCTAAAAATATTTATTTGGAGACATAATTAACATTAAAATAGAATGAATTTTTATGGAATTTTATATGTTAAATGACGATCAGTCTTTTTGACAGACAGAACCGACTCATCAGTTTAAAAGATTTTGTATTTCCCGATAAATGAAAAACAAAACAATATTTCATACATTTGGTTACCTTAATAAATTTTGATACAGAAAAGAAGACGAAATTTGCAGTATAAAATGATATCATTCTACTTCACAGGTTCTCGTCAGCTGCAGACTACCTGAAATTACAATAGTCATATAGATGATAATAACATACTTAAATGTTTGAGTGATAGGAGAGAAGAAACACTGTAAAATTGACGCATCCAAAGTTAAAGCATTACAATTTTTAGTTGAAGTTTTCATCATCAATTTATACACAATTCAAAGTTGAAAAGAGGGGAGAGGGGTAAGACAGGAAACAGAAAAAAATAATTAGCAGACCAGTGTTACAGGATTTCATCATGAGCTGACATTACTTAGAGAACCATTGGAAAACCTGGGAGTACTGGACAGCTGTTTCATCCTAGTTTGGGACTCTTCATCAGTACTCACCCACCGGGGTTCGAACCTAGGACCTTCTGGTTACAAGGCGAGCTCGTATACCATTAAGCCACTGGAACCCGATCCAATGGCCGATGAATTCTAACGTCTGTCAATTCACGATATAGCGCAACCGCTACCCAGTGTCTTCGCCGAGTATTTGTCCTCACACCCAACCTGCTGCAGTGTTAGCTTGTAGGTTCACATAGAAACTCAGAAAACAAAAGCGGTTACAATTTATGAGAATAAGATTTGTTCAGTGAGTTGAGATCTCTGAATTAGGTGAATAATTAATGTAATCAAATCACAGATACAGAAATAGAGTGTGATTAACCTCTCACTACCTTGGTAACTGAATTTTGATTTTGACCACATTAATTAGTCATCTAATTCAGAGATCTCAACTCACTGAACAAATCTTATTCTCATAAACTGTAACCGCTTTTGTTTTCTGAGTTTCTATGCGAACCTACAAGCTAACACCGTTCTGTTAACTAGTTTTTTTCTGTTTCCTGCCTTACCCCTCCCGCCTCTTTTCAACTGTGACAAGCGTATAAATTGATGATGAAAACTTAAACTAAAAAATTGTAATGCTTTCATTTTGGGGTGCGTCAATTTTATAGTACCTCTTCTCTCCTACCACCCAAACATTTCAGTATGTTATTATCAGGCAGTAACTCATGGAAGAAGACATAGCGAAATGGTTGCGCTGTGTTGTGAATTGGCAGAAGTTAGAATTCAGGGGCTGGCCATTGGATCGGGTTCCAGTGGCTCAGTGGTCTACGAGCTCGCCTTGTAACCAGAAGGTCCTGGGTTCGAACCCCGGTGGGTGCGTAGTGATGAGGAGTCCCAAACTAGGACGAAACAGCTGTCCAGTACTCCCAGGTTTTCCAATGGTTCTCTAACCAATGTCAGCTCATGATTAAATCCTCCATGCCATATGTTATTATCATATATATAAACATTATAATTTCAGGTAGTCTGCAACTGATGAGAACTTGTGAAGTGGAATGATATCATTTTATACTGCAAATCTCGTCTTCCTTTCTTTATCAAAACTATATTGTTGTTTTTACTGATGTATCGCTATTTAATGCCACCAATATCTATATCGAAGTAATATCATTAAACCAGAATTTCAAACTATAAATAACAAATTAACCATCGTTTATCAGCTCTGGATAATTTTTACATTTTCAAGTTGGCCAATCGGTAAAGATAACAAAACCATGTGTGTAGATTGTTGGATGTGATAAGCATATAAAATTATAAAAGCGGCATGTGCTAACATCAGGAAACTGCTTATTACATTCCCGTTGATTTTGGCAGTGCTGTAACCAGCTCGAATTCCGCTTTAGTCCACCATTCCTATTCAGACAATTTGGATTCCATTTGATATGAAGTGCTTCTGATATTAGAAGTTCTTCGTGATTTCTGAAATTTTCCTGGATTATTTCAATACTGTTTTCAATTAGATATCATCAGGCTTAACTCTAATATACATTATTTCATAAATAAATTTTATTATTATATAACGTCAATATTGTCAAAATCAATTTTGTGACCTGATTGGATAGCGTGTAGACCTACGGCTGATGACTTTTCAAGCTTCTCTGGTTCAACTGGATTTCGCGGTGGTCGAATAGATGCTCTACGGTGTTTATTTCTTGTGATCTCGATTTCTGTTGTGATGTTTGTCCAATGTACGTCGTGCATCACACATTCCAAGCATTTTATTTTGTAGACATAATTAGATTGAGAATCCTTAGGGTTTTGATCTTTTACATGGACAAGTTTGCTTTGCAGTGTGTTTTTCTGATGTTTTAAAGAAAATTCTGATGTACTGCTTTAATGATTACTCTTCTAATATCGCCTGACGTTTGTGATCTGTTTGCAGAATGACAGTTGTTGAGGCCGATGTCTTCGGGATACGTATTTAACCATATTTCATGTTGATGTCGATGTTGACTCTTGAGAATCTCAGTGATGGTTGATATTTCTTCTTCTTTCTCCACCTCGTCCGTTAACATCAAAGAATGTGCTCGTCTAAGAAGACTTGGAACAACTGACACATTTGCGGTGATGTGGTGTGATGATCTGAAGTCTAAATATTAGTCGATGGAGTGAGTTCTCTTCCTGAATATAGATATATTAAAATATCCACCTTCCCTTCTTCTAATTAGGCAGTCTAGAAATAGTAGTTCACCGAAGTCTGATTCTACTTCCAAAGTAAACTGGATGCTGGGAGTACGATGATTAAGTTGTTATATATAAACTCAGATTCTGGTTTAATGATATTACTTTGATAAAGATATTCACAGCATTAAATAGCCACTTATCAGTAAAACAACAATGTCGTTTTGTTTACAATAATGAATACCATATACCTAATACCCAAATTTTTTCAAACTGTTAAAAGTGAACTTGGTTTAGACATACATACAACTTAATTAAACACAGGATTTACTCACTAAAAGCTGGTGTTTTAGAGTGATGCATAGCATATCTACCAAGTTATATTTTTTTTAAACTGCTGGAACTGCTGTGGTATAACTAACTGGTTATTTCGTTACAGGAATTCATCATGAGGTGTCACTGGTTAAAGAACCATTGGAAAACCTGGGAAGACTGGACAGCTGTGTCGTCCTAGTTTTGGACCCTTCATCAGTACGCACCCACAATATGGGGTTCAAATCAAGGACCTTTTGCTTATGAGGCGAGCTCGTAGACAATTAAACCACTGAGACCCGGTCAAATGGTCCATGAATTCTAACTTCTGTCAATTCACGACATGGCGCGACCGCTAGCCAATGTCGTCGGCGAGTATTTGTCCTCACACCCGACCTGCTGCACCACACTGGTCACGACTTCTCACTAGAACCCCAGGTAACTACCTACCTGATAAGGGCAAGTCTCTAGTGAGCATCTCATCGATATTCAAGTGTTGGTTTTTAGGGATTTGATTAGTGACAGGATTTCATCATGAGCTGACATTTGTTGGAGAACCATTGGAAAACCTGGGATTACTGGACAGCTGTTTGTTGTTTATTCGACAACTGGTAATTTCTTTGATAGAAATCAATTGGACTGATACTCACTAGTTAATAGTATAGTCGATTAATAATTACTTACAGGACAAAACTCTATTATTAACACACACACACACACACATGTTCTTAGTGAAATGATTTAAACGAATGCAGAATAACTATTCATCACCTATAGGTTTCAAAGTTAGCTAGGGGTCTGAAAAGCAACATGCACGTTTATTTATCCGAAATCAGTATGGAAATCTGATGTATTCACCATTAGGAACATGATCCAGGTTTTCATCGCAAATGTCAAGTCACTCCTAGCTTCTTTATAGTTCAGAGACTTTCCTCATCACGAAAAGCGTTTACAACAAGCCACTTCAGACTTTGATCAGCCGTCCTCTTTGCTTGATCAGGTAGATCAGATGGTCAGCCAGTAATGACAAACAACACGGATTTCTGGCTGGGAAAAAACCAATCAGCCCAATAAATATATAGAGTAAAATAGAGGTAGACTGGAGATATGCTGAGGTGACCGTCCGTTGAATGAAATCAAGCGCAAGGCCCTCCAGTTGAGTCCTAATAGGAAACGATGAGTTGGGACAAGGAAGCAAAAACTTATAGGCAATCGTATAGTGAACTAAAAACGACTACAGTGAACACAGTGGACATGAGATGTGCTACTGAAGCCTTATGTTCTACAGAGAACCTGAGGGAATAATAATAATAATTATTATTACTACAACTCATCAATACATTTATATTGGGAATCTCCCTTTCTAATCCCAGTTAACATATTCTCATTTATGTATAAAAAAAACGTGCAATCCATGTATTTAGGATACACGTTATTCAACAGAAAAGAAATCATGAACAGAAGATGAGTCCAGAATGTCATTAGGCAGCTAGTGAATTGTTACCAGTATTAGATGTGAGGCTGAGTTGCTGTTTCCTACAAATATTTCAGTTTATTCTAATTTATGCATAATAATAATAATAATAATCGTAATTAACGATAATAATATGTTAAAATGTTATACTTATTCTTCTCCTTATGTGTTTCCATTCTTCAAGATCCCCCATTCGGTACATTCTTTCTACACAATGCAGGACAACCAATACCGTCTGATCAAAACCTACCAGTGAATACAACAGCACCAACATTTCATGAAAATAATTATGGGACAACAAATTTTTTCACTGGTCAACGTAATACAAATAATCGTCAAGTTAATCAAGCCAATAAGGTGGCGCACAACTGTTCTTTAATGCAACAACAAGTAATGACAGTAGATACTACTGCTACTACAACAATGATGGCTTGTTGTTCACACCTTCGTAATGATAATGACCCCATCTACCCGGAACAGTCAACATCGAATCAGACAGCTGCAGCGACAGGAGGTGGTGATGATAACAGAATGAGAATGAATGAGAATCAAAACGAGTTATTACTCATGCCTACAACTAGTTCAATGATTGTTATTCATGGTGATATCAATATTAATGATAGTAATAATAATAGTAACAATTTGACGCATAATAATAATACAGGACAAAATCGAACTGTACAACAACGGCGACAACAACAGCAGCAGGATAACTCTATCTCATTACCAACAAACAGTCAAAGAACCCAGTCACCATGGAGGAAACCTACAAGACGAAATTGTAAACGGAAAAGTACTAAATGAGCAGGCTGAAAAATTATCATTATTATTTTAAAAAATTTTTTTTCTAACTAAGATACGTATATAGTTATATTATATTTTTAAATTTTATATAATCCGCTTTTAATCCCAATTTTGATTTCTTCTTTAACCTTGGATATTTTGATTGAAACAAAAATTGATATTCGAATTTCAATTGTCGATGAATAAATTTACTTCACTTTTGTTAGGCAGTAATTTGTTTTAAAATTTTTTAAATGTATGTCTTCTCCTATTTCTTTTTAACCAACTTTGCAGAAGCAATAGTCAAAAGAGCAAGACAGAGTACTTCATTTTATAAAACTTGATGATGAATTTTTACTGACTGATCAAGTGTGAATATGTCATCCAATTGACCTTGAGGTGGGCCAATTGAAACACATACTCATAGTTCATTAATCCAATCTTCCTTAAATTCTTCATCATTTAAACAATCATTGATTTATTTAGGTGCATTTTTTGAAATTTTCACACCTTTTCCACTTCCTTCATTATTTATTTTTTTTGAAAAATATTTGATTTCCCAGAATGTTTTAACTGGATGCCTGTAATAATCAGAGCCTTAGTCAACAAAGTAAACAATACTTCAAATATAAGAAGTGTGAATTATTTACTTTCGAATCTGTCAAACATAAGACATGTATGAATATCTATTGTTTTAATGTTTCAAAAAAGGTTTTTGGGCTTCTGCCTAAATTTCAATTTCTTTTTGGTGACTTTTATTCATCCTAGAATCACATCTTGCACACAAATAGACGACTACCCCTTTTTATCTTGTTAAAATTATCTGTGAGTGAGTTAGTTTTAACTAACTGCTATATCCACTAGCCGTATCTTATTCACCGTCATGAATTCCCTTGTTTGGTTAATGTGAAAGAGATGAAATAAAACAGACACAAGGGAAATACATACACACACATACATCCCTAAATATTCAATTTTTATTTACTTGTATAATGTGAAATCTACAATTGATTTTTATCCTTTAATTTAAACACTTTCTGTGTTGATTGTATACTTTAGACAGACAGGTGGGTTCTGTTGATAATAGAGCATAAATAGTTTAAGTATACAGATTGTTTTCTGAATGCTGATTGGTGTAGTTGTCTAACATGTGAGATGGTTGAGCAAAACATTCAATTGATCAGCTTTCAAACAGAGTAAGCCAGGTTGGTCATCTACATGCTATAAATCAGTGGTCAGAGATTATTGATGGCATGAATCAGAGTCATTCTCAATGGTAAATATACGGCTTAATTTTAAAAAAATGAATTAAATTAGGCTTATATTTGCGATTTATGAAGAAGATGGTATTTTAAAGAAATGATGACGTCTTGTGTGATATGGAAATGTTTGCTAGACAGTTCTTCTAAACTCCGAAGTTTACTATGTGACAAAAGTCTCCTCCACTACTATGAGGGAAGTTATAATACGCTTGGCAAATATCTGCTACATTTCTTCTTTTGATTATTCTAATTGATTTGATAGATCCTGTCGGTAATCGGCATTGGTTAGAAGGTAACTGAGAGTAAAATTGGACGGGTCAATTAGTGCTTTCATAACTTAGAACTTTTCTGAACTTTATATCTACAACTCCACCCGAGAACCTTCAGAATCGGAATTTTTGTGTCACGTGAATCCTAACACTCTGTGATGTAGTGCTGTTGCTATTCAGAGTGAACGATAACACACACGAGATTCATTACGAGATATAATAAATGACTTCTCATCAAGGCGCGTTGCAGTCATTCTTATCATACTTTATAGCTGTAGGAAATAATCATTAGAAAAAAAACCCAGTACAAATACAAGTGGCTGTTAATCGTAAGTGTCTTCATTCAGCTCTTCTTATTCAGTAAAACAATATAATAATAATAAGGTTTAGTGGGTAGTTTTAAGTCGTAAAGACAAGTCAGTAGATAAAGGTTGTGATGCTGTGTTGATTCAAATGGGCATAATATGATTTCCATCTGCTGAGCCATCGTATTCTTGGGACGGAAACGTTGACTGAAGTATGACTAATATGGAAAATATAATAATAAAATATTTATTCTGGAAAGTATTTACAAAATGTACAGAACTTTCAGAGAAGTTTGTTGCGTGATATTTTCCCTTTGTACAATATCTTCAAGAAAATATTGAGTGAGAGTATATCCTATGACACAATGGTCTCTGAGCTGAAGAACGAACTATTCCATTAAGATACATCTGCTTTATCTCCTTCCCGAAATCCATGATATCTAGTCGAAAGTCAATTGTAAGATGTTCAGAAGTACATTATGATAACCAAGGAAATAACTGAAGAACAGTTATCTCATGTATTGGAACACGCTGCCACCCACAATTAGGCCATTCCTCAAGTTTAGTAGGAACTTGTGAACCCACAAGCTTCCAAACATTTTAAATACACACAAGGGTAGATAATACTATTAAAGATCATATCTTAATCGATTAAAATAAACCGAATGACAGAAAATATATACAATAGAGAGATGGAAGTTTTTAGTAGCCCAAGTATGAAGCATGCCGCCAAGATAAAAGCCTTTCAGTGATGCTAAAACATTTACTGACGACGAGATTAAAACAAGACAGCAGTTCATTGAGTCACTGAATGTTGATCTCAGCCGTGTAGAGCGACCTAAAGATTATCTGTCTATCTGAAATCTTCAAGATGGTAAAAGCTAATGGTTAAAAACTGATTGTAGCAACCTATTCAAACTAAACTGAAGAGCTACAGACATATTACCATCAACGGTATATTTACTCATTTCTGCTCAAGGAAATAAGAGAAGACAGATTGTTGACAGCTCTTGGGGATTATCTTGTGTTCAATTTGTGTATTCCTATGAACTCCTAACATTCCTGTGGAGTCCTCAAAAAGAAACTTATCCAAATTTTACTACTATGTATATAATGAACATATTGTACACCACTTTGTTTTAACCAGAAACTCTGTACTTTGACTTTACCTCGGGTTTTGAATAAATATATAGTTGTGCCTTCGACTCTCCGTCTTCTCCACCATCTCAACTGCCGTCGATCAATCCTAATCACCTGCTTTCTATCTCTGATTTTTGCAGGAGCACCGTAGTTTCTTCCTACGTACTTTGGTCGACCTCTGGCATCGTCAACATTGGAGAATTAGTACTGGAGCAGTCTTCCCGCAGCGCCTGGAGTCTATTACGTTTATTGTGGATTTTGGATCTTTGTAAACTCAAGTAACGAAACTTTAATATATTCTTCCCGTAACTAAACTCATTTGGTATTTTATTTTCTACTTGAATTTGGGTAATTAAGCTAATAGAGTGAAAAGGTCCACCACAATAATTGGTGAGCCCGTTTCGAACCCTTTTTTTATGGTTAACCCGTTTTCGAACCTTTTTGTTGCGATAGTTACCTCGTTTTGAACATTTTTGTTGCTATTTTGTCCTTATAAACTCGCACTGCTTTAATTTCTGTTACCACAAGTTTTTCTATTTTGTATATCTATATACTTACATATTATATGACAATGGCTCCACCTAAACGTACCACTGTTGCTGAAGAAGGTAATAAAGGCGAAGAGACACAGAACTCTGCTGTTAACGCCTTGCCGGATTTAAGACTACCTCAGTTTGATCTGGCTGAACCACGTGTCTGGTTCACAGTCATTGAACAGTTGTTTGCAGCTCGAGGTATTACGTCGCAGATCGCCATGTATGGTTGCTTATTAGCAGCAATACCCACGGAAGTACTACGAGAGGTTATCGATGTCATAGACAGCAAACCTACAGACTCTCAATATGACAAACTAAAAGCTGCACTCATCCAGCGGACCACTCTCTCCGATGAGAAACGCATACAACAACTACTTACTTCGTGTGATCTAGGTACAAAAAAACCATCTCAACTACTTAGACATATGCGTCAGTTGATTGGGTCACACAAAGTAGATGAGTTAATTCTACGTCAGATGTTCTTACAACGTTTACCACAAAATGTTCAACAAATCCTAACAATATCTTCTAGGACGACAGACCTTGAAGAATTAGCTAAAATGGCAGACGATATCATGGATGTGTTATCAAGTAATGGCATAAATAGCGTGTCTACAGAGGCAGTACCACCAAGCCCTTCCACATCTATGAAGGACGCACCACTGTTTTGGTTACTTTCCCAGTTAACATCTCAAATGCAAGATTTACGACTGGAAGTGTCTGAGCTTCGAGCACAAAGGAACCAGTCACATACTGTATCCAAGCAACGGCAATCAAGATCTAGACGACGTTCTAGAACACCGTCTCAAAGCCGTAACATTTGTTGGTATCATAGGAGGTATGGGCATAATGCCCTGAAGTGTATTCAACCGTGTATGTACAACAATAGTAACTCATCTCAGGGAAACTCCCCAGCCAGACAGTAATGGCGACGGCTGTTAATGGCAATCACCCCAGTCGCCTTTTCTATGTGAGGGATTTGACTACCGGCACATTATTCCTGGTAGATACAGGCGCCGAGGTCAGTGTTATTCCCCCCTCACTATCCAGGCGATCAGCCAAAATACCTGGAAAACTTTCACTCCGTGCTGCCAACCAAACCAACATACAGACGTATGGCGAACAGTCAATGATTTTAAACCTAGGATTACGCCGACGTTTCACATGGATCTTCATAGTAGCTGACGTACGTCACGCTATACTAGGTGCAGACTTCCTAAGTCACTTCAATCTGTTGGTTGATATCAGCAAGAAAAAACTGGTTGACAATTGCACCCAACTCAAGAACCACGGTATTACATGTGACTACTCTGTTCATAGCATCTGTATAGAAAAACCGGAGAGTGAAATGTTCTCTGCTTTATTGCAACGATTTCCTAAAATCCTTAAACCATCATACAACTCCGAAGATATATCTCATACAGTTACGCATAAGATCATCACAACAGGACAGCCTGTGAAGGCACGTCCACGACGGTTAACACCCGATAAACTAGCAGCAGCTAAGTCGGAATTTGAACATATGATGCAGTTAGGTATCATACGACCATCTAACAGCCCATGGTCTTCACCTCTGCACATGGTACCTAAAACTAATCATGACTGGCGACCATGTGGAGATTATCGCGCTTTGAATAACGCTACGGTAC